TTAACAGAGGACTAAACAGGAGAGAAATGATTCCCGAGAAACCACTATAGAAAATGCCCTATTGGTCCTGGTGTTCACAACGTTTCTATGCAAGTAAATTAAACCCAGTGGAGATTGGTCTTGGCAAACTTTTTATTGGAAAATCATAGGACTCTCTCTATACTGGTTTTGTTGTAGGTGCCAATGGCAGAAAAGACTGCCAGACTGAGCAGCCTTCTGACTTCTAGACCATTCTTCACATGTCACTGTGCTTCTGTGTCTCAAGAGCCATTATGAGGGCTCTTTCTAAATTCAAATTATATGTTTTATGTTTACAGGCATTTCTAAATTTTTCATCAACACTATACTTTCATTACGTATTTTACATACCTGCTTGTTACTGTATATTATCATGTTATAAGTGTATTAAATTATTATGTTATGACAAAAGTATATCATGGTCATATTTAAACAGAACAGATCATTGTTATTTCATAGAATCACAGAATCATAGAATGGTTCAGGTTGGAAGGGACCATCTAGTTCCAACCTCCCTGGCACAGGCAGGGACCCCTTCCACTATACTAAGTTGCTGGAAACTCCAACCAGACTGGCCTTGAACACTTCCAGGAATGGGGCATTTACAGCTTCTCTGGGCAACCTGTTCCAATGCCTCACCAACCTCACAGTAAAGAATTTCTTCCTCATATCTTATCTAGATCTACCATCTCTCAGTTTGAAGTAATTGCCCCTTGTCCTATCATTATCTGTCCATGTAAAAAGTCACTCTTTCTCATTTATAAGCTCCCTATAAGTTCTGGAAGGTTGCTATAAAGTTTCCCCAGATCTTCCCTTCTCCAAGCTGAACAACCCCAATTCTCTTAATATTTTTTCATATGAGAGGTCCTCCTACTTTTTGTGGCCCTGCTCTGGATTGCTCCAACAGGTCTACACCTTTTTTGTGCTGAGCTGGGGAGGTGAGGTCTAACAAGGGCAGAATAGAGAAGAATCACCTTCCTTGACCTGCTGTCCATGCTGCTTTTGATGCAGCCCAGGATGTGTTTGGCCTTCTAATGATGTTTATAAAATAACTGACTGAAACAGTGGTATTACAGCAAGTGGTTCTGTCCCTGCACATTATAATTTGAAAAACCTGTATCTGTCAAAAAATAAACCAAAAACTGTTCAGGGGGAAAGCCATGAAAAACTCATTCAAATTCTTAGAGAAGCTCCTGCACAAGAATAAAAAATTATACTCTCACTGATACAGAACTGGCACTGAAGTTGCAGACCATGGCAGTCCACTGACGTCTGCATCCCTGTGTGTGACCGGACTGGAAATGCTAGTCTCCAAATCTCCTTCTGCTGTTGGCTAGCAGGGTCATGGAGGAGAGCAGCTAGAAGTTGCAGAAGGGGTGCAGACAGCCCTTTCCTTGCCAGTGCAGAAGGCAGGAGAACCTCTGCAGCCTCTTTGCCTTCTGCCAAAAGACTGGCCTGCAGGACAAATCAGTCTCTATGGCTTCCAGGGGATATTGGGGCTTCTGCAGAAACTAAGTGTTCGTTTAGGTGGTAGAACAACTAAGGCTTGCCATTGCTTGTGGTGAAAAATAAACCCTCAAAGCTTTTTCAAGGAGTTTTATCCAACACAGTACTGCCTTCATTGTCGGCATTTTTTAAAGCCTTTGAATATTTGAGAGAGAGACTCTAAACATGAACCATCAGTCTTTTCACCTAAACTATCCCATGGAACACAGAAAGAACACACAAAACTCCCAAAAGCAATATTAACGCTGGATGGAGGGAGGAGAGGAGGGAACTGGTGAGAGCTGAATGTTGAAGCTGTGGAAAATGGCCTAGGCAAAGAAGGGAATAGGTATGTCAGGAAGATAGGAAGGAAACTCAAAAGCTTCAATAACATTGACCTAATGATGAACTTGTCCTTCCATTTGGTGAGGCTGAACACGTTCTCTACTATATAGAGCAAATGACCAATACACGTAGAAGTTTTTTTCCTCCCCTGGGAAGTCTATCCTTCAATAGATTTATGCTGATGATGATTATGTTTAACCCAGAAATAGACAGTTCGTTTATGATTCCCTATGGCCCTCGTGGAAATGCCAGTGTGCAACAAAGAGAGCCTAGGTTTATTGATATGCAATCCAGCTCATAGCTGAACACATCTGTAAAATAAACTCAATTTTGTTCCTGCAAATTCTCAAGGAGTCATCTAGCTTTAATGTGAGGAAGGTACATTTCTCCATTTTCTCATGTATTAGGGAATGATTTCTTTCTCTTCCCTAAAACAGGGACATGAAATGCCTAAAACATTGCAAAAGGTGAGACCTCAGACACTGTGCTTCACAGGTCCAAGCTAAAACCTCAGACACTGTGCAGGCTCCACAGAAAGCACTTTCGGTCCACTCTCTCCTGAGCTTGACAGATGTAACCATCCCAGCATGCAGAATCCAAGTGCCAGTCAGTTGGCTGTCCTCAGCATTTAAATTGCCTGCATGGCAGTTTCAACACACTCCTCTAATTTTTTCTCTCTGAGTTTTCTTTTCCATTTCCAAGACAGTTATTTCAATTCACAACCCGGAATCCAGCAGATCCCTTTTAATCTTCTGAAGCTACACCCACATACTCCCCACAAACTTAGTAATACTGATTTTATCTGTGTTCTTCTATTTCCTGACTCTACCACAGACTGCTTTATTTACTTGCATATTTAGGAACAACTCAGAATGTGTGGCTTCGTACTACTTGTAGCTGATTTTTATAATGATGACCCCAACTAATTTCACGTTATCAGCGCATTCTGATGTCTCAGGGACACGATCAAGTTCCCAGGGCCCAGTGAATCCTATAATTTCATTTGAGCTGTTATAAGGGTTTCCATGCATGCAGTGAGACTCTTGCAAAAATATGTAATAGCTTTAACCCCAGCGGAAAGAGCAAAGCTGAACCTGTCTTGCCTTGTGTTTGCCAAGGAGTGAGACTATGCCAGAGTGAGTTTCTACAGCTCAGCTGTTACTTAGCTCCTTGGTAGCTCAGTTGTGCATTTTGATCTCAGAGCTGATTTTATTTCAAAAGAAAAATGAATAGGGACTGGAACAGGAAAATTCTTCAGTCAAATCAGGAGGAGCACAAAGAGTCCATACAAACATTCTTATTTTCACTGATATTCTGATCTCTCACACTGCCTGGTCACAAACATCCCCAGATTTTTATCTTCTCTCGAAATATATCCAAGCCAGTTTCCAACCCTCTCCAAAATATTTTCTACAGAAGCTCCTGACCTTGCAAGCTCATGCCTTTTCTTTGCCCCTAAATCAGTGACTTCCTCAGGAATTCTACCAAGTCACCACCAGTGTCTGCAGAAAATTGGAAGAATTGATTTTCCCTGAAGCCACAATGCCCATGCATACCCAGATTGTAGGAGCTGCCTTTTCAAAGTAGAGAAATAAGACTAATGAGAAACCACCTCAAACATGAACTTTTTGCCCCACCATCTCCACAAACATAGCAAGACTTTAGTCCTCTCCAGTAAAAGTCTGAGATGCTGCTAACATACAGACTATTTCTGACCCGATAGTTCTTGATACTGAGCTGCCCAGTACTGCTTTCTCTGACATCCCCTGTAAATCAGGCACAAAGCATTTCTGGTTCTTCTGTTGCCATGGATCAGTCTGAAGCTTACTCCAAATCATTATAGTTTTGCCACCCTTTGTTCTGAGCCTCTTTGTTTTTAAGTGGAGACCAAGTCCCATATCTCTTCTCACAGTTCTGGCTGCCACTTCAGTACCAGCCTATCATTTCTCCATTGTTTGCATATCTGTACATTAAACTGACCTACATCTCCTTGTAGGGAGTGGGTAGCAGATGGTGCTTAGGTGATATGGCATCTCAAGATGGTGCTTGGGTGGCTTGTGGGTCACAGAAGTGGGAAATGCTGGCTGCTGCATAAGCAGCATGCAGCTGAGTTCCCTGGTGAGCATTCTGCTTGCTTGTATCAACAACTTTGGGCCAACGTGATCCAGCACAGTCACATGCAGAAAGTGGGTCAGGCAGGTTATCTTGGCTACAATATTTGTTTGGGAGCTGCTGGGACTGGGGGCAGCTACACCACTAACCTCTTTTAGCATCGCTGCCTTAATGGAAAAGTTGATCAATTCGACAGAGGAGCACCATGGTGGCTGGCACTGGAGCACTTGTCCTGTCAGGAGAGGTTGGATGTTCAGCCTGGAAAAGGGACAGCTTTGGAGGAGATTATCAAGAAGATAGAGACAATCTTTGTAGGAGTGTATAGCAGGAAGACAAGAGGTAACAGGCACAACCCAGAACAAGGGAAGTTAAGGCTAGGTAGAAAGAGAAACTTTTTCAGTGCCATGACAGTCAAGCCAGATAACAGGCTTCCCAGGGAGGTCATGCAGTCTACATCCATGGAGGTTTTAAAGAGCAATTGAAAGCCCTGAGAGACCTCATCTGAGATCACAGCTGAACTTCCTTCAAGCAAGAGCTTAAACTAAAGACGTCCTGTGGTTTCTTCCAGCCAGTCAGTCCATGATTAAGAATCAGTCTGTTTTTTAAAAAAAAACTGCCCAAATCCCAGGCTGCAAAGGGCAGTCACAGCTGGGAGTTCACATTATGGAAATCCATCCCAGTCTTTGTGGTAGACACAGAAAAATTCAACCAAGTTCGACCAATCCATTGTCAATACAAATTTCACACAGCACAACGCCTCAAGTCATTGAGGGGTTAAGACTTAAATTTGAGGGGTAGCAGCTGTGTAAGTATCCTTCCTTTCTTTTTGGGCCCTCTTTCTGAGGGCCCAAGTCTCTAATCTCTCGTGCTATCTCTGTCAGAGCAGGGAATAGCCAACATAGCTGGCTCATGCTGCCAGCCAGCAGGCAGCTTCCCCTGCACCTATCAGAGACGGTCCCTGCACAGTGCGCACTCAGTCCCTGCACTGTTTGCTCCTCCTGTGTCACTCTGTCCTTCCCGCCTCACTCCGGCTTCCTGTCTCTCTTTCCTCAGTGCCAGGAGTACAGAACCTGTTGCTGGAGTGCCCTTGTCTGAGTTTCTGCCTGGCTTTTTTCCTCTGCTCGGATCTTCTCTTTGCTGCGGTAAGTCTGATGAACAGCTCCCTTGCTGTCACTGCTTGGTGACATGGCACAAGGGCTTTAATATAAGTACTTCTCTTTGGGAGCGTCAACCTGCATTTTCTAGGAACAGCCCTAGGAAGGTCTGGGCACCATGTGACATCTGAGGAAAACAGGGAGGTATCCAAGGCTGCTAGTTAAAGAAGAAGTAAGAAATTCTTGTCTCAAGAGTGATCAGAGAAATTACTTTGGTAGTGCCTGTATTGAATTGAGATTGGGGGCCATGAGTGGCCTGCTACAACAGTGGTCAAGGTTCAGGTGCCACGTGAAAGGTGAGGCAGGAGGCTTCAGAAAGCCTCCAAGTCTGGTTCTGAGCCTGTATGGAAAACTGCCACTATACCTCCAAACTTTTGTTCAGTTTTGTACTAGGAAATGGCACATAAACCATGAAGCTATTCAAATGCAGTGGGTAGCTGATAGAGCTGGTTTTATCTCTGCTTTCTAAAGTAACACATAGGGCACTGTCTGTCTGGACTGTGAAAAAGTACTTGTATTTTTCTGGAGGGTGATCAGAGCTACAGTAGCAGGGGCAATTCCAGAGTTTAATGTTTGCTGCTTTGAGGTGTCACTGCAGATCAATCTGGTGTTATATAAAGATAAAAAATCATAATTTATCAGCATGTGTTGGCTGCTGCAAATATACGTAAAGCTTTGTTTTAGAGAAATGTGTGTGTACGTGAACTTTGAGCATAAAGTGCTAAATACCATCACCCATTTTAGAAGAGCTTAAAATAGCTCCTGGCTGCAGAGCAGGTGCCATGTGTCCTTCTGCTGAATATAGGGGGATGCAAAAGCTAAATATAGACCAGTCTGTAAACCCTCTAGAAGTTAAAGCTGCAAGAAGGAAATCAGGAAGCAAATCCCATAAGATGGAAGTGGAAGCACACTGTTTATAAAAGATAAACAAAACTCTGTGACAGTCTTCAAGGCAGCCTGTAAGACAAGCTAAGAAGAAGATATTTAATTTGTGTTTTGGTCATGCCAGGAGGGTGCCTGGGCAGCAATGCCAGCTCCCAGCAGTGAGAGGTGGGCTGGCACACCCCAGCACAGGAGCAGTTTTCCCAGCAGCAGTGGGAGGGCTATTGCAGCTCTGCTAAGTCAGTCCTTGGGCCTTGCCTACTGACCTTTTATTTTGGAAATACAAAGCACCATGAAGGCAAATTATGCTGTAAATGTGAAATATTGAGGGATATAATTGCAGACAAACAAACTCAGCATGTAACCAGACTGATCTGAGGCATGCACCTCTTGCTGTTGCCTCTGGATGCAGCTGTGGCTAGGCTGTGTGGTCTGCTATGCTGAAAGCTCCATTTCTGTCCCGAGTCTTCCCAAGTTCTTAACAGATGAAGGAGAAGGGAGAAGAGTCTTCCTCACAGTGGGGAGGCAGCAGCACCCTCTGGCTCTTGGGGGTGTTCCCCACTGAAGGAGAGGAGAACCACAGTGACTATTTGTAGGCAGCAACCACAAGTGTCAAGTTTGCATCCAAAACACCAGAGCCAAGAAAGGTGCTGATCTCACAGCTGTGGAACAGGTCCAGGATTTGGGAATGCAGGAGACAAAGAGTAAACAAGATGCAATGCTCAGACTCAGTCAGAGTAGCCAGTCCTCCCCCTTTCCGTAAAACAGGATAAGGCTGTGTTGGAAATCCAGTGCCTGGAGGCAACAGTAATGCTAGTAGGAGTTGAAAAACTAAAAAAGTTGCCAGTCTAAAATTGGGCAAGTCTGAAAAACCAAGGAATTCCTCTTCTGGACTCTGTCACCTAATTTTTAGGCATTACGTGTTTAAGATAGAGTATAATGTAAACACTTTGGGTCTTGCTGAAATTGGCACCAAAAGTCTTTTATGGCCTGATAAGGGAGAATTCCTTGTGTACGTCAAGGTTAAGAAGGCTGGGGTACAAAGGAGAACTGGGGGCAACTGCAGTAAAAACTCCCAGCATCAAAGGCTGTAAGCAGGCAACTCCCTCAACATAAACTGCAGCACCGTGGAAGCTGTTGTGTAAAACAAGGTACAGAAGTCTTCACAGGCATTGCGTTTGTGCTGGAAAGCAGTTACCAGACCTCTGGTTTAGTCTGAGGAAGAACAAAATAAAACATTAGGATATTTATTGTGTGTGTAAATACAACTGCTGGTACGACCCAGTGGGTGGGCACCTTTGGGTTAGAAGTTCATTGCTGTGTATTTCTGGGGTTCCTGCCTGCTCACCATTCTGGGCTCGGCAGTTGTGAATTGCCATGGTTTCAGACTGATTATAGCTAATCCCTTTCTAGCCAGGAATGTATGCTAGGGAAGATTTCCTGCAAGGCCAGCTTGTAAGCATCTTGTGTCCTTGATTCTAATAATCCAGTTTCTCTTTCATTCACCCATGTTTTTCTATTGTTACTGAGACACATCATGCACAGATCAATTGCCACAGTGTATTTAAAGCCTACAGTCTTTGGAGACATACTTTGTGATTCACATAAGAGGAAACCTTTAGCCAGAGAGTGCTACCACATGAGTGATGAAGTTGGGAGGCAGCCAAGGGGGAGAGTCAGAGTACAGAGAGAATATCGGCTTGAGCCTTCGTACAAAGAGGGGGAGATAGAAAAGAAATTAATATTTGGAAATGGAGCATTTTGCAGTCCTGCTCTCCCTCTGTGATGAACATATAACAAAAATAGCTGTTTTGAACTGGGATATATAAATATAACAAATATAATAAAAATTTCTGAGTTTTATTCTGCCTAAACAAGAGCTGGTAGTCCTGGGTTTTCTAGCTGATTGATTGCTAGCTGCCAATTAGCTCAAATTAATGATTGCAACAGTAAACACTAGCCTGAACATGTCAGAGATAAACACGTATTTTGTGGAGTGTCTAGCTTAGCCTTTACAATACTCTTACTGACCTTGAATTAGTTGGTAGTCAATTAACTCTAGTTTAAAAAGATCACAAACAGGAGGCTAACATTTGTGCTATCTGGAATTATTTACTTAAATTGCGCATATAAGATCTAATTTTTCAATGCCAACTAAACTTGATATGACATCAAATCAGATCACTATAATTTTACAATCATTTTGCACTGATATAGCGACTATGGCACAAGGAGTGAGGAAAGAATGGGATATGACTGTGTGACAGATTTGTGAGACCAGGTCCAGATGCATTCCTAAACCAATTCTGCTGGCAAGCTGTATCTGTGGGTGCACTGCAGGGGCACGGATTTATAGCTAACAGCTTTCAAGCACTTCCTGAGCCCACTCAAAGCTTTCAATTATTTGCTTGAGAGATGATAACTCATTTGACTATCTTATCTGCAAGCCTGGTCATATAGCTAGAAAATCAAATCTTCAAAAATGTTGCCTTAGTGATGGCCATCACTGCACTTCCAAACATCACTTTGACTGGGGAGAATTTAAGAACACTGAGTCATTTATTACAGTAAACGACATCTCTCTTACCATATAATGCCTTTGGTCATGTTATTTACAGTTTTGAAAGCTGCAGAAATTTAGACACTATAGAAAACATATGTTGCAGCCTGTTTGAGCAGGGAATAAAATCATTTCCAGTTAGCTCCATGTTTTCAAAATCTATTAAAAATAAGAAAGCAATGACTTCACATACTGGAAAGAACCAACCAAGTAAGCTTCTTCCCCTCTTCCCCACTGGCACCATTATAAATTTTATTATTAAGGAGAGGAACAAAAATCAGTCTGGAAAAGAGAGAGAAGGACTCACGGCTGGAAAGAGTCCAGAGTCTGCAGTCAAGAAGTAGTGGGGGCTAGTTGCACGTCAAGGTCCAGCTGTGCCCCACACCTCTGCATTACTTCATGAGAGCAACACAGAGGTGCCAGCAGCCTCTCCCTCTAAGGGGAAGGGGCCTTCACTACTCTGAGTTTTCCTGGTGCCCAGGATGCTCTCGCTGACAACCTCATTACCAGGTCCTGGGTAAGCCAGAGCAGGAGCACAGCTATGTTGGGGGCTCTGTATTTGCCTGGCTGAGTGCAGCTGCTCAAATACCTGAGAAAACAAAAGCTTCCCTTTGCAAACTGGGAACAAATTAGCTGAAATTCACTCCACAAAAGACCATGGACTATCCAGCTGTGTTATGTGTGGTTGGGTTTATCTCATTGTGATTTATTCTGCAGTTTGTACTTTGTCAAAGAAGCTGTCAGCAGCATGTAGCAAGTACAAGAGAAGGGTGGTTTATAGCTGTTAATCTTATTCTTTGCTGTTATTGTGACGGTACCAAACCGCATCTCTTGCGGATCAAGCACCATGCTGGGCTTTCCAAGGGCACAATGCAATTTTCAGTTGCACTGAAAATAGTAAAATATAAAATAGTAAATAGTAAAATATTAAAATAGTAAAATAGTAAAATATTAAAAATATTAAAATATTTTTTGTGATTATTGACTCAAGATGTGTCAACAGGAGAGAAACAGGAAATGAAACTAAAGCAGCTCTGAAGTGAAGCTGTCTATATCTGAACCCGTGTTGCAAGTAAACAGATCAAGAAAAGTAAACATGTGGCAAATATTTTATTCAAGGAGGAAAATGGTATAAGTGACTGGGGTGTCATTTCATGTGTCATTGCTGGCAGTGGGAATAAGAGGTTTTCATTTTTAAGTGTTAGATTTGGGTAGGCTTTTCTCTTGGAAAGTATATGATTTGCCTTTTTCCTTGCAGGCTAATTACCTTGGTTATTTATCTAAGTGTGGCATATTTGTCACGCCAGAGCCAATGGATAAGGTGCCATCCCAAATTTCACACAAAATCACTCACACGCTGCCCAAGCTTTGGGAACAGCTTGATGGCTAATTCTTTGTATGGCTGGTTCTATGCCTTTAAATTAACCCTCCATTTGTTTTTCTGTCAGGTGCTGCACTAAGCATGGAGAGTGACCAGTCTTCCACCTCACCTGGGCAGGACATGCAGGGGCAGAGTGGGGACAGAGTTGCCCCTGGCCTGCCATCCCCTGCTCCTGCCCCCATGGAGCAGCCAGGCAGCTGGCCCCAAGCAGCCGTGTGTGACATCTCGGAGGAGCTGAGCCGGCAGCTGGAGGACATCATCAAAACCTACGGGTCTGCCACCAGCCTGATGGAGAAGGAAAGCACTGCTGCAGGAACAGACAGGCCTGAGAAGGGAGAGCCAGGCAGCTTGGAGGATGCAGAGTATGAGGATGGAAATGAAGAGAGTGAGAAAGAGAAGCTGGCTCCTGGGGATGCCTCCAAAGCAAAGGAGCCCAGCAGCAACAAGGAGCAGAAGCTGGAGAAGAAAATCCTGAAGGGACTAGGTATTTATTTACATACTCCCATAGCCCTTCTGCAAACACAAGTGAAAACTTCCTGGTCCTTGCTCTTTTCTGGTATGTTTCTGGTATGGATGATAGAGACTTCCAGCCACCACTGAAAATAATAGTGACCATTACAATTTTTCCATAACTGATATTTATTTTTGGCACTACCCAACATGTAGGCTATATCAGATAGTAGTTCTTTAAAAAAAAAAAGAGTTGTATCACACAGCACTGATGTACTTCTGAGCCACCCACATTGGTTAGCCAGAGCTGTCAGTCCAATGACACACTGCACAGAGTCACTTAGATGAAGGAAAACCTAGCCTTTCATCTGTACCTTGGTGCATGTTTTCTTCTCCTGTCTGCTCAGATATTACTGTTGTGACCAGTGAGTAGCCATAATGATGCTACTGTGTGGCATGGGGACCTGCAGGATAAATTTACTGTCATGCCCAGGTTGTTTTTCATTTAGTAAACCCCTTGACTAATCATATAATATAGATGAAATAAGCCAATACATTTGTTGTCTAACACCTCAGCCCTGGCAGAGCTGTCAGCTGAGCTAGAAAGAAGTCTTAGCAAGTTTTTGAATACATGTACTTTCAGCTGGGCAGCCACTAGAGAGCAATGTAGTTACATTCTAATCTAATATAAATGTAAATTATTTCCCTTCCTACATTTAATTCCATCCAGTCTTCGAGCCTCTCCTTTGCATGAGAATCCAAACCCAAATGCACACTAAGCCCGTAAATTAATCACCATAGACATTCTCACAGACAAGGGACTAAGCATAGGACACAGCATGGATTTTTTCCCCTCAAAAATTCTTTGAATGTCCAGAAGAAAATTCCTCAGTTTCTAGTGCCTTGGCTTTGGTGCTGTTACCGTACTTCATCAAGCTCAGTGAAAACCCTACCAACACACAGTGCTCTGTCTGCCCTTGTGACAGTTTACACCAGGATTTGATTTTAGCTCCATTTATTTATGCTGATGCTGTGGAGAGAGTTTAGAGTGAAATAAAGGATTTTCTCCAGAGACAGTACTCCTGGTCTGCACTAGAACTGAAAATGTAGAAAATGTCCAGCCCAAAGCAGATTTTGTCTAACAGTCTCAGGAAGGAGGAGCATTTGGAAAAGCATGTCCAAGACCCTGGGACCACAGGCAACCTTATCTCCAGGGACATCAGAGACACTTTGTACTTCACGAACAGCAGTGTTCAAGTCCCAGCTCATACCTGGGGCTGAAATTAAAACTGAGAGGTATCAGAGGAGAAGCAATACCTGAATGGCTGTGCAGTGATTTGGCTTTGCACACCCAGGGAGTTTAATTAGACTCCCTCTGGAATACAAACTTTCTCCACCAAGTCAGGGAACTGATTTACACAAGTATCACATAGCCCAGACCTGGCTGGCAGCACCTACCACCCTCTGATTGTTTACTTCCACACTATAGTCTCTATATCTGACTTAATATTCTTCATGTCTTGTGTGGGTCTATCAGCAAAGGAGCTGAATACACCAGACTTGATCCACTTTCACTTACAAAGAGAGCTGTTCCTGAGCCTTTGGGGTCCAGGCACTTCTGTCCTATTTCAGTCAAATGTGCCATGTGTCTGACCTAATCATCTTGCCAAGACATTGAAAGGAAATCGGATTACACAGGACAAAAGCATCTCACAGACAATGTTTTTGTTAGAAAAAAGCCTATTACTGAGGTGTGAAATGGAGGAAATTCCTAGCATGTTTGTTCTCGTGGGGCAAAGAAAAACTCAAACTTACAGTAAAAATTGTTCCTTTCCTTCCAAAATTCCTCATTTCAGCCTGTGTTCTTACAGGCCCAACCAATTTCAAACAGCCAATTTCATAACAGGACATCAACTACAAACTATGTAGCATCAAATCTCTGCTTCCTCTTTTCCTAAGGAAAAGAAGCCACCCTACTGATGCAAAGTTTGAATAAGATGAATACTCCAGAAGAGAAGCTGGACCTGTTGTTTAAGAAGTATGCTGAGCTGGTGAGTACAGTGTTGGCTCTTTTCTGTACAAACTGCCTACACAAGAAGGTATAAAAAATACATGACATGCAGCATGGTCAAACCTCACATACCAGCAGTGTCTCTACTCATAAGTGAGTTCCCAATGCAGCTGTCATAGTCAGATAATTATGGGTAAAAAAAGAGAAAAAAAGTAAAAAGTGAGGAAAACAAGATTTGGGACAGAAAGTTGATGAGGCAGCATATTTGTACTTAAAAGCAAATCTACCAATCTGACCCACACTGGAGACTGGTGTCTAGGCTCCTGCCTTCACCTCCTGCAAGGAGTTTTGCATGTTTCTGTCCCAGGTATTGCTTTAAATTACGCATTGGTGATTTCATCCAAATGAAAATAATACAGGATTTAGAATAAAGCTTCCTGTATTAGGAAGCAGATAATAGACAACTGAGACTAATTGTAAGAGAAGCCACAGCACAATGAAATGAAGAGTCAAAGCTCCTGCCACCATAATGTCACTCCTGTAACAATGCCACCTACCTGACTGTTCTTTCCACACTTAAGATGGGTTATTTTCAGATGAAGGGATATTTTCCTTTGTAGTCAAAGGACTGTATGACCATAAGCTGTGGAAATCTTACAAGTGACAAGGCTGCAGCATTTTACGCTTTGTGGAGTGCTGAAAAACGTGTGAAGCAGAACATTGACTTTTTAATTGGTTTTATGCACAGATGTGTCCATGTCTCATAATAATGTGAAGTGAAATTTAGCTTTCCATTTTTCTTGTAAAATCCTCTGATTTCATAAATTGGGTTCAGGCTGTTCATAGCCTATCTCATGCTTAAAAGGACTTCATGCTCTTAGATTAACTGAAATAGGTCTTCTTCCTCTACAAAGTACTCTCCACTGCATTCAAATGGCATTGCAGCACTGTATAAAACAGGGGCTGGATTGCCAGTAGCCCATGCAGGAGAAAGGTGCTAAAGCAAAAGTACTGAACACTTGTTTCTGACATACTGTGCAATGTCACTGAAATAAATCATTCCTTAAACACAACAAAAACCTCGTTGGAGACAGGCTCACCCTGCTCACTTGAAGCGGCTGAGGGGCATGCTGTGATTAATGGCTTGTCAGCAGCTGGCTGTAGCTGTGACCGCTCTCCCTGCTCCCTCTTGTCCATCCCCATCATACACTTGGGATCATGTCTTGCTTTTGCTGAGCTGTTTTCCAGCCAGATCAGCTCCCTGGTCTGGTGAGCCGCGTGGTGACAAGCACTTGTTGCAGCACAGCTCCCAGGAAGGTGTAGGCATGTGACAGATGGAGCTGGGTGCTTGGCAGTGCTTCCCTCGCTCCAAGTAGCATTGGGGCTGGCTGTAGCTGGAGAGGCCACCCAGCAATGTTATGTCCCTTCCAGCCCATGCCCTGGCACAGTCTGTACGACTGTGGGCACACTGCAGGCTGGAACATGGGCTGGAGAAGGTAGAAGCCATGCCAGAGGGGATGGGGAAGCAGGACAGGCATTTGGGCACAAACTCTGCCTCTACTCACCAACAGAGAGCATCTCATTCACTAAATCCAGTGTGTTGGGTCAGCAAAGCAGACTGGGGTTTACAACAACTTTAGCTTACAAACAGCTGTCACAGAATTGTTTATAACTGGACTATTTTCAGAGGTCCTGCGAGTCTCACAAATGCTAAGTGCAAGAACAATATGCTAAAAAATAAATACAACCTCCAACATTGTCTGCAGTTGGGATCAAGATAAAACTTTTCTTTCCTAAATTGACTGTTTCTCTAGGACAGCTTTCAAAAGTCAAAGTTACTTCTATTTGCAGTTAATTTAACTTCTATTTCATTAATTATTCATAAAAACTTAACTTTGGGGACCATTTTGGCATTCCTATTTACCAGTGAATTGCCTTTTTCATTGGAAAAGTAACACCATGTCTTAGATATTCCTGAGAACATGGAGATATAAGCTTCTAGTGCAAGTAGTATTAATGGGGAGGGGGGAAAAGGCAAAAAAAAAAAATACATGGAAGACTTCTCATATCAAGATTAATACCAACTTTATTCTGAGGCCCCTACCTCAAGCACAGTTTGAGTGAATCATGAAATTTGGATAAATCACTATTCACCGAGCACAGACTGTGCATACAAAATGTGAAGTAAAAAAGAACGCTTTTTATGTTTTTCAGCAGAAAGGGGATGTTGTCATCTTATTGCAAAAGTTCCATACCTTGTCAGTGAGTTCTCATGGGCAACTCCTCAGAGCACTGACTCCTTCTTCTTCACAGCACAGCCCACAAACTCCAGCTCTCTTCTCAGCACAACCAACAAACCACAGCTCCCTTCTCACCCAACTAACCCACTCTTTTGTAGCACTTCTCTTCTTATTGGACACAGCTGTGGGCTGTTAAGGGCAGGCCTGCTCCTAATCTTTGGTGATTAGTGCAGCTGCAACTCCTCAGGTGTGAGCCTACCTTCTGCACTATCTTTATTTTCTTACATTCTATCCCTCCACAAAGGGAAGGGGACAAAAACAAACTTATGAAAGAAAAAATCTCAGCCTTAATTACAGAAAATAACTTTCTTTTCCTACAATACTAGAAAAATTATTTCAGTTAGTGCAGCTTGGCTAGATGCAAAAGCCTGTATTGTGACCTACAGGAGCAAAAATAGACAATACACGTGTTAAAAGTTGGACATAAACTGTAAATGTACTCCAAGCTGGTGAGAGCATAGTTTTGTGGTACAATTAGCTGTGATTTGATTAATAATACATAGAGCTCTCTACTGTAAGCATAAATTACTGAACATCTACAGAAAACACATGAAAGTGTAAAATATGATAATGTTGACTGTCTTGTTTGAGCTGCACATCATTCCCCAGTGCTCACAGACTTTCCCAGTCATACTGGGGCTAATTAGTACAAGTGATACCATATTGTTAGATAATGTAGTCCTAACAGCAACTGTTATTAAGGTTTGCATGTTTAAGTTCATGTGCTACTGGTTTTCAATCAGAAAATATCTGGATTTCAGAAATACCTTGCAATGTATGCACATCTGTGATACAGTGAGGAGGGTTATTGTGTGTTGGAACAGGAGATGAAATAATTAAAAGCTTCAGAGGTGAAAGACTTCTTTGACCTCACTGTTAGGGTGTTAATTTAGGGTACAGGAATTTTTTTCAAAACATCCAGTGATGGACACGCATCAAAAGAAATAACCAGACTGTGCAGGGGTTACTATTAGGAATTAGGTTGCTGGTCCTCTTTGCCCCCTCCAAATCCACCCTGCTCCCTACCAGCCTTCCAGGGAAGACAGGAATCATGCACCCAAGAACAGCAGTCTCCTAAGGGAACAGCAGGGACTGTCCCTGTTTCCTCCAGGAATTATATGGAGACAAAGAGCCCAAAAGAGGTTTGATGCGCCATGACCCACCCCCAGTGATGGCAGGACCTTCAGAAACACAACTGGCAGACACTCTCACGTGGTCCTGTGAGCCAGAGGAGCCTGGCAAGAGGAGGTGCCACATGTCATTTTGGGAAACTCTTCTCTGAAGAGAATTCTCCTCCATCAGCAACAAAGCCCCCACATGAACAACATTCTTGTGTTGTTTTGTCCAGCTCCTCTTTTGTTGTTTTGTCCAGTAGGTTCCTGCATATTTAGGAAACTGCTTCTTTTTCAGGAAACTGAAAAATAAAATAGAATTAGCAACCACTGTATCACCTCATGATCTGGAGAAATCTCACCACATAAAGCACTACTGACTGCTCTAGTTTCAAATGTTGAAACAAACAAAAAAAAAAACACAGATGTCCTTCAAAGAAATTCAAACCACCAAAGAAGGAAGAGCTAAAATGGTGTGACAAGAATGTTAAAATTATGTTCACCTACCTACAGTACAGCATACTTGGGACAGTAGCAGCAAGCAGGCTTGGGAATCTCCAGGTTCCTCTGTTCTATCACATTAGTGCTGGTAAATACAAAAGATTTCCTAAGAGGTTAAAAAAGTTTGAAGACTTTCCCCAGACCTAAAGAGCTTATTTTCTTTTCTGTACCTCTTTGTTTTATTTTAATCAATGTTTCTCTGTTTTGGTCCCCATTTTGCCCAGCTTGAAGAACATCGTGCTGAGCAGAAGAAGCTGAAGTATCTACAGAAGAGGCAGGCCCAGATCACCAAGGAGAAGGACCAGCTGCAGAGTGAGCACAGCCGAGCCATCCTCGCCCGCAGCAAGCTCGAGAGCCTGTGCCGGGAGCTCCAGAGGCACAACAAGAACCTCAAGGTGAGCGGGAGCCTGAGCACAGTACCCAGCAGGGAGGGAAAGATGATGGGGACACCTTGCCATCTCCCTCTAGTACCAAGTCAAAGGCACTTTTGCATCTGCACATGCAATAATAATAATTATATATACACCCTGATCTTGAGGTCCGTTTACACCAAGACCCCTTTGTTTCTCATTTGGAGATATTCCAGCACTTTTGAACATTGGGTTTGCCCACACTGGCTCTGAGACTTCCTTGCATTATTAGGGAGCTCAGTGCAGAGAAGAGCAGTGGGACTAACAGACCGTGTCCCTCAGAGTGCAGATGCAAATGCACGTGCATGGACAAAACCACAGGCACGCCAGCTTTGCTCCAGTGGACTCACAGGAGGCTGGAGGGTGTTTTCATGTAATTCAAGCACTTGGACTTTCTCAAGTGATTTGTGAGGATCAGTCAATCAGTACATTTGTCTAAAGACACAAAACATCAAGACAGGAAGAATGCCAACATTATTTGTGGAAGTTGTTTGGATTATGAGAATCAGTTAAAAGAGAAAATTTTTAGGAATGTCAAAATGCTGGGATCCATACACCATGTCTGCCAATTGCTTGGTGCATCATGCCATTTAAATGTGAAATTTATAATATGATTATGCTCCTTGAAAAAAAAAAGTATGTTCAAGAAGAATATTTCTGTTGTGATCATCCTTTTTTTTCTGAGTGCATGTTAGTGATAGTGTTGGTATTAGCATACAAAAGGCCTCTGCTTTGTTCTATTCAAGCCCTTTCTTTATGGGGATACAGTTA